TTTATTGTACAAAAAGCCAAAACAGCTTCATCGACAAAGCAAAACAAAAAAAAAGCACAAAAACAAATATACAAATAATAAAAAAATGCCATACAATAAAAATCAATTCAAAAAATAAAATTGCAAATAAAACATATATGGACATTGCAGTACACAGGCGTATCTAGAAAGTTTTACAAAAGGAAAACTGTAAATGGATAAAATCATGTTATAATAACATAAAATCAAGAGTTATAAAATATTAAATACTAGACCTTTAACCAGTGTGTGAGATGATCAAAATATTAAAATTAAAATTCAAAATTGTTCATGATTAAACATCAACAAAAAAGTCGTTTACCGCATATAGGGCTCTCTCCAGTAAGTATGATTTCAGAGCTTTGCGAAATGCGGGAAAGAATGGAAGTGACTTTATATTCGAAGGCAAATAATTGTACATTTTCTTGGCATTGTACAGTAGCCCTTAACTAGTTCTGAGCTCGGGGTTGGCAGATAAATATCGTGCTCCGCATTCCTAAGTGGATAGTTGTGAGAAGGCCTTTCCGGGAATAGAGAATATGTGCTTGCGGATTAAGCAAACGGATTCAAAAATGAATAAGGAAGGAAGAGTCAGTATTTTGAAATTTTTAAAGAAATTCTGGCAGTGAGTTCTACTGTTTAGTCCCAATAAGTATCGAAAATACATATATAGTTTGAAAATACGATCAAATTTTGTCGCGCAGCAAGTACCCCAGAATGGAAGGGCATAACGAAGATGCGACTCAAAAAGGGCATAATAGACCATTCTAGAGGTTGATGAGTTAAGTTCCTTAGACACTGATCTTAGCGCAAAACAGGCAGAGCTTAGTTTCTTTGAAAAGGCTTTGATGTGCAAGTCCCATTTTAACGAGTTCTCCACAACAAGTCCTAAGAATCTCACAGAGTCCACGACGCCAATAGTGGTGTTATTAAGTACAAAAGGTTGTATAGTACTTTTATATGACAAAACTTTAGTTTTTGAAAGGTTGAGGCATAGGAGATTAGAATCGCACGAAGATTTAATGGTGCGTAAGTCACTGGATATAGTATCATATAGTACCGTAACATCTGGACCGCTCCAAGTGAAACTAGTATCGTCCGCAAAGAGGCAGATTTTACCGCTAATGTCTAGATTTGCAATGTCGTTGATAAACACCAGAAATAAAATAGGGCCAAGTACTGAACCTTGAGGGACACCACATTCTATAGGCTTACAAGAAGACAGACGTATCAATCCTCACAAGCTGCCTTCTGTTGCCAAGATACGACTTAAGCCATTCGAGCGGCACTCCCCTGAATCCATAGTATTGCAATTTGTTAATTAAAATATTATGATTTACACAGTCGAAAGCCTTAGAGAAATCACAGAAAATTGTAGCTGTAGAGTGATGGTTATTCAGGCTAAAGTATACATTATTAAAAAGGTCGAACATAATAGCATCATTTGTGCAACTGTTACTTAGAAATCCAAATTGATGGGTAGAAAGTACTTTTTATATTTAAGGAGAAAAGATAGAAGTCCTTTTTTTAACCAATTTTTCAATGATCTTAGATAATGTGGGCAGGATAGCAATTGGGCGATAGTTCGAAGCTTGATCTTTATCTCCTCCTTTATGCAGAGGAATAATTATTGCTGTCTTAAGGCAGTTTGGAAAAACTCCTTTTTGGAATGACTCATTAATTAAAGTAGTAAGATAGATTAATGTGCATTCCGGAAGTTCAGAGAACATTTTGAGAGTAAGCTCATCAGTCCCAGATGAGAATTTATTTTTAATACTTTTAATTGTACTACGGAGCTCATTTAATGCTACGGGCGTGAAGAAGAAACTGTGTAAATTCTCATTTGCTTTAGGGAGATATGAAAGTAAATCATGAGAAGGAGTTATGGTGTTCACTAAATTTTTAGCCATATTAACAAAGTAAGTGTTTAAATCTTCAGGTGAATTAAAGACTGTGCCAGACGAAGAAGTCTTATTCGTTAAGTCATTTACAATAGCCCAAGTCTCTTTAGCAACATTACCGGATTGGGCTAGCCTCCTATTATAATAAATGTCCTTGGCAGCTTTTATAGTCTTACGATAAACTCTTCTATAAAGTTTCACGTAATTATGAAAGAAAACGCTGTCTGTGAATTTTTTAAGGTGAGATAATAAGCGCATGTTCTTTGCAGATATACGCAAGCCTGTCGTAGACCAGGGTATACCTTGCTTACTTTTGATAGGCCTAAGAGGAAACGCCTTGCACGCCAGATTAGACCAGGTATTTATAAATCTAGAAAATTCGTAATCGACGTCAGCCGAGAGGACAACCCACTCAGTTGTTAGACATAGGTGGTGAAAATTTAGAAAATTTTTATCCGACAAATACGGCCCAATTTGCGCGAGGTATTTTTGCATTTGGAATGTGGCAAAAACGTTGTCAATACTGCCTCATGATCAGAGAAACCTAAGTGAAGGACTCTACAGTCAACGAATTCCGGGTCAAAAGACGACACGACATAATCTATAGTACTAGAGCCAGTTTTAGTTATTCTAGTTGGTGAGTCAACATGCATGAGTACACCAAAAGAACGAAAAATGGACTGGAGAGACTCCCTAGCTGCACACACACTGGAAAAGTCAATATTTAGATCGCCACACAAAATTAATTTACTTTTTATAGGTAGGGATTCAAGCAAGCTTAGCAATTTTTGACTGAAAATATGCACGTCAGCGTCAGGTGTTCTGTAAATACAAATAATATAAAGGTCAAAAACATTATGATAACCGACGGAAAATTCAAATTTTTTTTCGGATATTAGGGTATCGAACTTAGTTACTGCTGTAAAGTCGTTGTTAGTAGACATTATCATAGTACCTCCATGAGATGAGTTACTTCTATTGAATCTAGTTACTGTAGTGTAATTTTTGACAAATACAGGCTCATCCATATTTAACCAATGTTCAGTTATGGCAACAATTTCTGGAAAATTGAGCTCTTCTAATAAAAGATATAATTCATCCGTTTTATGTCTTAAGGACTGAATATTAATTAAAAAACACTAAGCTTGCTATCGTCGAGTTTTTCAGAGGTTGCTTGATCCTCTGTTCGCGTCATTTCACCTAAAAAAATATTTTTATTTTTATTTGGAGAGCCATTGGAGAAATACTTGGTATGACTTTCCCTAATTCTCTGAAGCTGTTGAAGTTTTCCGTTGAAAAGAAGGACCTGAAGGCAGAAAGATCCGCATCCACTTCAGCTGAGTCAATATCATATACGTTGTGGAAGCGATAATATATCCTACGTAGGGAATCCGCGTCACTAGGAAGTCCCTCTGGGGCATATATAATTTGATGCTGGTGTTGGTGTACCCTTCAAAACACACACTTGAGGGTTGATCGTGGAGATAGGCGAGGAATAGCCGAATAGGTTTTAATATGGAAGGGTCCCTCAGTCTAGCCAGCAAATAACGCCCATCTGCCTCATCCGAATTTTGCGTCATCCGAACTACAGGCGGAGTCAACGGGTCCACATGTAGCCCGCCATCATCCTTCCTCGCACCTTCTTCCACAACCATTTCCACATTTTTCAGCCCAAGAAACTTACAAGCAGCAATAGCCTCCTTGTCAGAAGATATCTTAACAGATTTGACCTCCCCCGGTATATTTACGGATGTCGAGTCTGAGCAAGGTGGTAGACTTCGGATGTCAACAGTGTTTGATAAGATGTGTTTACAGCCTGTGGACGAAGTACCTGGTGCTGGCGAGTAGTAAACTAAAAAGTATAAAATTTAATTGAAACCACTAATTTATTCCACTAATTGCGGGGTTCTGAATGAAGCTTAAGAATGTTGTAATTTATTTTTATATCGAGTTAAAAATATTGTCAAATGGTATGGTTTAAAATTCGAGAAGAAAAAAAAATCAAATATATTTATTTGTCTGGAAAAGTTCTATCCTTTTTTAGTATTTCTAAAATTAGTGTTAATTTTTTGCAAGCTTTATGTCAAATTTTAGTAAATTACGTCTAGAGATTGACCTCACCAAAATTATCATCGATTTTCATTCCCAACCCTATTTGACGCCGTTTTTCTTTTCGATCATACGATATTTTAGCTTTAAATCGAATTTGCCGATAAGCTTCTAGCCAGAGTTATTTGCTGGATAAATTCTACAAAATTATGCGCAACAATTTAATTATTTTCCTGGCGTGCACAAGGAAAGCTATATAATATAAAATATTTCATTTAATAGCACCAGCAGAGCAAGAAACCAGATAAGCAATGAATAAATTAAATTAACTTCGCATGTAATTTTACTATTGCATTTCATAGTTCCGATAGGAAATAATTTTATTCGGATATTGCATTAGATGGTAAACCTGATTAACATTTATGAGTTAATAAACTAATTTTGATGTGATATGTGGCATAATTTATTTGGCTAGATTTGATTCAAGTGAGGGTTGGTCCTTATTCAATAATAATTTATTAAAGCTGTAATTTTGGGGTGATAGGGGTGATAACATATACCTACCTATGTTAACCCAACTGACAACCTCACCTGCACGTGGTGCACCCTGCTAGAAAACTAACGAGGCTCTGTCGAATGACTGCCGGTATAAGCAGTTCCCTCTTGTAAGTCAACAGCTTCGGGTGGAAGTACTAACAAGAGTGAGGGCACTTCCTTGTCCTCGGGATGAGAAATCCTCCCCAAAGGCGAAAGAACCAGCAGGTGGTCAACGGCAGGGAAATGCGGAAGGCAACGGGAAACCACCGCATTAAAGATCTTCATAGATATCCTCAGGATATTCATCCTAGTATTTCTTATTATATTGGAAGCTTAAAAACAAATGGCCTCTAGTCCCGGGCAGACCTAAGTGGTCAAGAGTTGCGAAGAATCCTCCGGTTCCAAATAGATAAGATAACAAAAATTGCGACTTGGAATGTGAAAACATTGTTTGCAGCTGGAAAATTTGACAATTTAATACAGGAGATGAACAGGATGGAGGTAAATATCCTTGGAGTCAGTGAAGTCCATTGGCCTGGCACTGGAATGATTAAATCGAAAGGTAAAGTCTTTTACTATTCCGGCAATGGCAGTATTGATCAAAATCATCAGCGAGGGGTTGGTATTTTAATGGATGAGAATTTACAAAAGTCAGTGAAGAACTTTATTCCTCTCTCAGAAAGGGTAATTCTAATTCAGTTACTGGGCAGGCCTATTAATATCAATATCATCCAGGTCTATGCTCCAACAGCAGAAAAGGCAGAGGACGAGATTGAAGACTTTTACAGACAACTTGATCAGGTGCTAAGACTCACAAAAAGTAATGAAATAAACTTGGTTTTGGGAGATTTTAATGCCAAAGTCGGTAAAGGCAGGTTGGGATCTGTGGTCGGAAATTATGGTTTAGGTGAAAGGAATGACAGAGGTGAGAAATTGATACAATACTGTGAAGAAAATAATCTTACAATCACAAATACATGGTACAAACTCCCATCTAGACGACTTTATACCTGGAAGTCTCCACAAGACAATGATTACCGTATTATTCGTAATCAAATAGATTATATACTAATTAATAATAGATTTAAAAACCTGATCACAAAAGTAACTACAATGTCAGGTGCCGATATTGAATCGGACCATAATCCATTACGTGCCAACATCCTATTGCGTAATAAAAAAAAACCTAAACCAAAAAGCTTGAGAAAGAACTTGGATCCAAAACTTCTCAGAGACATGAATGAGAGATATGAAAACCATATAAATGAGAATTGGAAAGTATTGTCAGTACAAATGACATTGAGAAACATTGGCTGGGCATTAAGCAAGCTTTCAAGGAAACCTCCTCACGGCTAATCGAACAACAGCGAAAAACGAGTGAATGAGTGAAGATATTTTAAAAATGATGGAACAACGAAAACAATTTAAAATCCAGAATAATCACAACGAATATAAATCTATGCAAAGAAAAATTCGTAATAAAATAAGAACGGCAAAAGAGACATTGTTGAAGGAGAGATGTATAGAGGCCGAAAATCTCAGTCACCATGGAGACAGTTTCCATCTTCACAAGAAAGTGAAAGAGATAGCTGGGTTACACCATAATACATCAATAACCCTAATTAGAACTGATGAAAATAAAATTATAACGGAAACAGAAGAGCTATTGCAAACTTGGAGAAATTATACCATTAATCTTTTCAACGACGAAAGATCAGAAAACCCTGCAACTGAGATTCCCATGCCATCAGGACCAAGCATATTGGAAAGTGAAATTATTCATGCGATTAAATTAATGAAAAACAACAAAACTCCAGGGCCTGATGATATGTATTCGGAAACGTTCCACTTAATTAATGAACAAAACTTAAAAACTATAGTACAGCTTTTCAATAACATCTATGACACCGGTCACATCCCTGAAGACTGGCTTCGTTCTACGTCTATCACGCTGCCCAAGTTAAGTAACTCAACTTCGTGTAAAGAGTATCGTCTTATTAGTCTAATGAGCCACTTTCTTAAGCTCTTTTTACGGGTACTGCATACAAGACTCTACAAAAAATGTGAGGAAGTAAGTGGAGAAAGTCAATTTGGATTTAAGAACGGCTTTGGTACTAGAGAAGCCATATTCAGTCTTCAAACTTTAGTACAGAATTGCCAAGATCAGAAAAAAGATGTCTTCATGTGGTTAAACATAACCTCCTTATATCATACCTCAGAAACTTGGGACTTGATGGAAAAGATATAAGGCTCATCAGTAATTTGTATTGGAACCAAAAAGCTGAAATTCGTATACATAGCGTGGGAGTAACAGAAGATTTTGAAATAAAAAAGGGGGTAAGGCAAGGGTGTATTCTATCTCCAATGTTGTTCAATTTATATGTGGAAAGAGCATTCACTGAGTCAATCTCCAATAGTCCCATTGGTTTGAAAATAAATGGTATTCCAATTAATAATATCCGATATGCGGATGACACAGTGATATTGGCAGACAATGCAAATGATCTCCAAATCCTTCTAAATAAGGTTAACAGTGAAAGTCAAAGACTGGGTTTAAACATAAATACTACAAAAACTAAATTTATGGCTGTTAGCAGAAACAATATTTCGAACACCAGAATTTACTTAAATGGAGAGGTCATCAAGCAGGTCACACAATTTAAATATTTGGGATGCATGGTTAACGAAACGTGGGATCCGGATCAGGAGATCAAATGCAGGATCGAACAAGCAAGATCTACTTTTCTGTAGAGACTGCGAAGATTTCTCACAGATAGGAATTTGAACTTCGGCCTTAGATACAGAATGGTGAAGTGCTATGTCTGGTCCGTTTTGTTATATGGTGTGGATGCATGGACACTGAAGGTAGCAACAATAAACCGAATTGAAGCCTTCGAAATGTGGACCCTACGACGAATGCTAAGAGTGCCCTGGGTCGACCGTGTTAGGAATGAAGACATTCTCAGAAGAGCTGGTCTGGAACAACGTGAACTCTTCGAAATCATCAAGAAGAGGAAAATAGCCTATTTGGGACCATACTACGTGGAGAACGCTATCACTTTCAGTGTCTGATTCTCCAGGGTAAAATAGAGGGGGGCAAAAGGGGGATAGGACGAAGGAAGCTATCCTGGCTGACAAATATTCGTCACTGGACAGGCGTACAGGACTTCCAAGCACTCCAAGTCGCGGCAGTTAACAGAACCATCTGATGAGGAAGAAAAAGATGAACGCCTACGCAGGAATCTGCACGGCACCTTAAGAAGAAGTAATTTTGATATTCATTAATATGGTATCCAAGTTTCAAACGATTTTGCTTAAAGTGATAAAGCTTTAAATATTCACATACAAATTAAAATTGTGGATTGCAATGTGTGTTGCAAGAACATGTTTGAAAAAGTGACATATGATGCTGTTTTAATATAAATGTTATTTTCAATTTTTTTCTGTAATCTGTACATTTTCTGTTTCCCCAATAGCCTGCAAATTTTGTGGAATACCACCCAAAATGCACACTTTTATGCAAATGCCTAATAATGTTAACGCATAAATTTATTTAAGAAGAGAAACAATTTTGAACCTAACCAACAATCCGTATTTATAGTGGTTTACAGTAATTTTATTAAATTATACGTTTAAAATAAATATGACATGTCGTGTCAAGGCCGTGGTCTGTCACGGCTCAACGCCATTTTCTGTCAAAAGAATGTTTATATTAAAATATATAGAAAAATTCACAGATTTTGCAACATGCACAACAATCATAGGCGTACTATAGAAATGTGAGGTATGTGTATACATAGGAATTAATGGCATTAATTTGCAATAGCACCTCGAACCCACAGTTTCATTATGGAGCCAGATTAAACCAATCAGAATGAGTATTATGTTACCGTGAAAGCCCGAATATTGGTTAAACGTAGGGTAACCCACGTAGGAGCCCGAAATATGCAAAAAAAGTCAGTTTAGGTTAAGTTTAGATTAGTCCTATATTTTTATTAATGCAAAACCAACTAAAACCTAATTCTAATCTAACCTAAACTCATTCCCTCTTTTGCATATTTCGGGCTATTACCTGGGTATTTCTAGGTTTAACCAATATTCGAACTAACGTACGGTGTAAATTTATGGATGGCCCATAAATCTAAATTCGCCGTACAAAAAATAAGTAATAGTTACTGTAGATAAAAATAAATTAAAATATAGTTCCACGATAATTTAGTTTGCAACTTCTTTTCATCATACCGAATAAAAAACCGTCACAACTACTACTCATAGTATGTATACCTATGTATTTTTAAACATCATTATGGGATTTAAGTATACATAGGTGCCTATAATATAAGTAACGGTATTGACGGTTTTTTGTTATGATGAAAATGTTGTGTGATATGAAAAAGCAACAAAATATATTATCGATTGCAGCATCTATACCTAGTTTACATTCAGTATGTCCAATTAATATAGAACATTATACCTATGCATGATTTTAAAAATTTGCTACCATTATAATATTTTGAGAGTTTGTTTGTAGTGAGTTTTTGAAATTATTTGTTAGCTTCTTAAACAAAACAGACCCATAATAATTCAAATCTTTATCATCCAAGACTTCCAAGAATTATAAAGTAATCTCACGTCAAAATTTTTTTAAATTATTGCATGCCTTAAATGTTTGCAAAGTTAACAAAAATATTTCTTTGAATACCTTGCAATTAATATATTTGGTCCAATTTATCAGTTCTGCACAAAGATATTTAAACTCAGGTTCTGCATCATATCCGAAATTCAGATTGTGTATGACACAATGAAGAGTCAACGTGCAACGTGAACTACAAGAAAAATGGCAAGTAAAAAAAATTGTAAAGTCTTAATTACTAATTACACAGTCCTTCCCTTGAGTTCTCTTGCCTAAAATCTATATTGCCTTCCCTAAGATTTTAAATATAAATGATTGAAACTCATACAAGTTTACCACAATTTAAACTTAAGATAATTATTTAATTATTAAATCCATAATTATATTAAAATATATAACACTTACGAAGTTACTAAATATTAACTATTTCTACTTAATCATTTAATAACTCTGATAAAACTCGTTCGATTATTTCTTTTAAAAATCATAGAATGATACTGTATTACAAAAATTGTAAAACAAGTATGTAATAATAACTCGGAGTAATTATTAAAATATAGTTTTACTTTGTTCCTACTACTCTAGTGGCGGAAATTAACTGTTACGCTCAGTTGGCTCTGACTCGGTTGGCTAGATTTTGCCACTCCCACTTGGTACCTACTGGGCGAGTATATAAACGCTCAACTTGTAGATTGTACTTTAGTTTATAATCATCTGCTGATGATGCTAACATGGTTAGCGAAACGCGCGTCCAGTGTAAAAGTAACAGTGTTTTGGTGTATTGTGGTGATTTAGTGTAATTTTATTTTGCTGTGTAACACCAAAGGTTCCAACCCTCAACTGTAATCTTCGATGGCTTCACGGTCAACGGAACTGAATCTTTATCGTAAGTTTAGTACTAAGATTAGGTTATTAGGAGCAGATATTTGGTTTCTTAAATCATGCAAAGCCAATTCAGTTTTTTCTAGTTTTATTAAATTTGATATTCCAAAAAGTAACGTTAGTGATAAGGTAGAGAAAATTGCAAGGTAAAGAAAATTGGCTTGATTTAGAAATCAAATTTCTGTATAGTAAACGAAGTATGCTTGAAATTGAAGCCTATGGACTTTACAAAGAACTTACTTATAAGCTAACTAATGTAGAGTATGAATGTTGGTGTCTCTTTCAGAGAAATATGTTTGTGGTTATCAATTCAAAATTTGTTAAGAAAATGTCCATTTTGAATAATAAGTTTAAAAAATTAAAAAGCTCTAAAAACAAACATGTTTTCCAAAGAGACATAAACATAGTAGAGAATCTTTCTTCGCAAACTTTTGATAAACATGAGCTCAGTTTATTAAACAAAGGTTTAAAGTTTGCATTGCCCAACTCTGGTAGCGCTTTGGAGGAAATCGTCGTTGGTGTTGAAACTGCTATTCAGCACTTGCCCGAGGCTTCTAAAGTATTTACAAGAGAGGCTTGTAGAAATCAGTTATCAAAAAATATCGTTTCAAGTAAATCATTAAAATCTAACAAGGAGCACAATATTGTCAAGAGTTTGCGTAACAAAGATTGTTTCTACCTAAAAGCTGATAAGGGAAATAAGGTTGTTATATTAGATAAAAAAGACTATTACGATAAGGTTAACAGCTTAATCGATAATGGCCTCTACATAAATTTGAAAAAGAATCCTTTGCCTAAGATGGTAGCAGACGTTAAAAAAACTCTAAAGGAATGTAACACC